CCCCAAAACCCCAAAACCCCAAAACCCCAAAACCCCTATTACAAATCATTTTATTGAAGAATTCTATTTCAGTATTTAAATCTATCTCGTTATAGTATAGATCTCTCAAGCTTGTCATCCCTATTAGGGTCTTCATTGACTTTATATATTCGCAACATCCATCTTTCGGTGGTATAAACTTCAGTGAAATACTTCAGTTTGATAGGAGTGGAATCAACAGCCATATTTCTGACTGTATCAAAGCCTCTTGGATGCTGGAATCCCATTGAAACTTCATTGAATCTATGATAAGCAAGTCTGAACATTAACGATTTCTTCATTGTGTCAGATGCTTGGTTATCTATCCTATACTGTCCGTTTGAGAAATAATTTGATTCCACAATTTCAGGGTAAACCCCTTGAGCTATCTTAATCATCCAGATAAATTTGGAAACATCATCACCTGAGTAAAAACTGAGGCCTCCAAAGATAATTAATACATAGTCTGCGTCTAGATGTCTGGCTATTTTATAGCCTTCTTCCTCTGTACTGGCAAAGGCTTTCCCAATAGTTGCTATATGAGTGTTGTTCCAAGTATTTCCATCTGCAAGCACAGTTCTATTGGCCATACCAGTGATCTGGTATCCATAATCCCACCAAGACATGATCTTGTCTGCTGGGTCAGTGTTTTGCCTAATCCAGTCATAAGCTTCTCTGTAGTCGTCTATCAGAAACTTTTCTCCATTTTCCCTCCTTGCAGACATTATAATAGAGGGTGAAGAGTAAGCCTCAGCTGATATATACGTCGAGTGGAATACATAAGTTCATAGAGAGTAGGCAACAACAACCAAGAGGACTGTAGAAGCTATGAATGGGTATTTAGATATGGATTTGGCACTTTGACTGTTCTTTTGTTGATTTGATCCCTTTTTGCTCTCCTTTTTCTGATCATTTTCGGTGATTTTTTCTTGTTTCTCTTCCTCAATTTGTTGCTCTTCGCTTTGAACTTCTTCAATAAAGGCTTGTTTGATTGATTTGATAAGTCTAGTGATTACTTCTGAAGTTCCTATTCCAGCAAGGACTCAACATGCCGGAGCAAATACCAGCATAAGCCTGACCATGACACAAGCGAAGTATACTGAAAGAATTCCATAAAGAGCACAGAATAGCATCCCATATGTTGGTTTGATATAACAAAAATACAACCCGACAGGCATGAAGATCACGAGAACATTTACATCGGTGTAGAAAGTTGCCCAAGAAGAAGGCTGATGTTCTGATACAGATGCAATTATTGGAATATACTTCTTGGCGTAGGATGGATCTAACAAAGTCATTGATCTTCCACTCCATCTTGTCACCCCAGTCAAAGAGGCATATGCGAAAACCATAGCAAATCCTATTGTTGAATATGTTAGAATAAGTTTAGAGTATTTCTCAAATTGCTCCTGAGTTAATTTCGCCTTGAACCATTGAACTAGTACATATCCCTGAACAATAAAGAAGACACCATGTGAAGCAAGGTGTTCTGATGATTTTACTACTGCTAAATTGACAAACTGAATCTGCATTGCTAGAAGAGATCCCATTACGTAGAAGACACTGTAAGCGATGTACACCCTCATGTTGAACTTCTTGATGAATATCAATCCAAGGACATAGATAGGGATTATATTGATAATGAAGCTATAACCACCCCAAGCAGCAACCATGTAGAAATAGCTTAGTGAGCAAGCCATTGACCAAAGTATAGAGCCTGTATTCACAGATTTAATCCACAAGTAAAAGACCAGCACTAAAGCAAAAATGGAAACTCCTTCATTGTCATAAGAGCCTGCTACACTTCTTGAGATATAACTTGGAACAATAGCAATGAAGATAGCTGCAAATAGTCCAGGTCCTTCTCTATGAGTGCACTCTTTAGTAAATAAATAAGTTGCTGCCGCTCAAAATCCTGAGAATATAGGGGCGATGAACACTCACACATTTCTGATATCCACTGGGAATCCAATGGCATGTGCACACCAGTGGAACAGCCCTGCAGTGGCCATTAGGCCAGGATAGACTGTTGGGCCAACAGGTCTTCCAAGAGGGTGCCAACTTTCATGATCATACCAGTTCCAGAACTTGTATGGACCATGCTCGACCAATACTTTAGTTACTCTGTAATTGAACCAGGGGTCATACTCATGAATGATACTCTCAAATCGAATAACAGAAAAAATCCTGATAAAAAAGCCCAGCAGCCAGACTAATAGCAAAATCATAATCTGAAGACTAGGCTTCATCGAAATAGCAAATGATTTCAAGCCACCATAAGCTTGCTTTGGACAAATCTTTTGTTTCTCCATTCTGGATACTTCAAATTTTATAATTTAAAAAGGGGTTTTGGGGTTTTGGGGTTTTGGGGTTTTGGGGTTTTGGGG